CCTTGGAAGCACGAAGATGTTGTTGGTTTTAAAGTGGACTAAAGTAAGCACAAGTTATTAGTTGTGATCGAACAATGGGTTTAAATTATCACTTATATGCCCAAAAGTCATTATTGCCCATTTTCTCAAAAAAAGTGATAACATTTTATTTGTTTTTACATATATTTTATACATGTGTGAATCTAGTTTAAGATACGACCGCTAAGACTTTGGTACCTCTTGGCAAATATCCCCTCTTTTTTGTTTGGAGATTAATTCACGATTTCCAGATTGTGCTGCATGTTGCAAGCTGCAACCACAGGATAAATACTGCAGTAGCTACGAAATATGTTATAACAGACAAGACATTAATGCAAATATGTCCATATTTACTCCGACTAACCAGAAAAAGCTTACCAATGTTGCTGTGGTACGCATGAAAAAGGCTGGCAAGAGGTTTGAGATCGCCTGTTATCCAAACAAAGTCACATCATGGAGAAACAAAGTGTAAGTTTAGTTTCATTCATTTCTTTAATTCATTGGGGAGTAGTGAATTCCTTTTTACGTCCACGAAATATTACACAGTTTTGATATACAGGTAAAAAAGTAAATTTGGATGTAAATGTCACTGACACATTTACTGATGGTACTGTATTACTACCAGCACTGCAATGTAAATGATGTGTCAAATCTTTCTCATTCTTAATAATTGTCAAGTTTTTAAATCTTAACAGCGAGAAAGACATAGAAGAAGTACTGCAGACTCATGCAGTTTTCCTCAATGTTTCCAAGGGCCAATTGGCCAAAGCAGAGGACCTACAGAAGGCGTTTGGCACAGATAACCAGGAGGAGATCTGCCTAAAGGTACTTATTGCTGTCTACAGATTGTACTGTAACATGCCTGGAATTACTGTAGTATGATAACATTTTAGCCAACTGTCAACTATATTCTAATTCGTCAAAAGAAAATGCAAACATTTTACCATGGTAAGTGCCAGAATTGTTCTTTGTTTTAACATTTTGATATGGATTAAAGTATGCAGTAATTTAGTGAATAATTTTTTTCTTATTTAGCCCACATTGCATTGCATATATAGAACATTGTATACTAATGTACAAATCACTAGCAGTCTTTAGTCAAGGTACCACAAACCATCTGTCAAACACATAATTTACTGTACTTTAACTTAATTGACCAGATCATTTTTTCATAACAAGCTGGCAATTAAGTCATCAAATTCTTTAAACATGTTTATTGTCATTTTTTTTTGTCAAATTGGTAAACTTATAAATGTATCCATGCATTCTGTACATATTTCAGATATTAGCAAAGGGTGAACTACAGGTCTCAGAGAAAGAAAGGCAAGGGCAGCTGGAGTCAATGTTCAGAGACATAGCCACAATAATAGCAGACAAATGTGTCAACCCAGACACAAAACGTCCCTACACTGTGACCATGATTGAAAAGGCCATGAAAGATGCTCATATCTCTGTGAAACCATCCAAAAGTACAAAGCAACAGGTTGGTGATTGAAAAGTAAATTAATTTGCTAATGAAGAGGTACTGTACTTTGTAATGCAATTTAAATGTAAGCTTAAACAATTTGCAAAGTTCACTTAGTGAAAATTTTACCTTTTTCAGGCACTTGAAGTAATCAAGGAGTTAAAAGAATTTAAAGGCATAAATATTGAAAGAGCTCAGATGAGACTAAGGATAGCCATTGCAGGTCTGTGTGGCATTTTAGCCATGTAATATGAAAATACACTGTATGCCTTATCTAAAAAATTAGAATATTTTGTACATTAAAGCAAATGACTCTTTAGTCAAACATTTAAAGATTTTTCATGTTCATTTATTTATTTATTTGCAAGGAGTGGATAAATGTGTTATCTTTGCAGCTAAAGATGCCAAGAAACTTAAGGATAAACTAAAAAACTTGTCAAAGAGTGTGGAGTCCGAAGAGTCGGACGGAGATGAATTGGAAATGGTAGGAATTTTACCCATATGCCCACTGCAGGTTTTAAAACAGCTAAATGAATACCAATTCCATTATCTATGTTAAGTAATCAGATACCAAAAAAATCTTATTTAATTAGCTTAAGGATCTGTATTTGATGCAAGGTAATTTGAATGATAATAACATCTTCTTATCCAGTAATTTGGGATGTACCAAACAGGGCACATTGAATTTTAATTGCCTGTCAGTGAATTCCCCCCTATATTTCTGAATTTTAGGTTATACTGATAGATCCAGGGTGCTACAGAGAAATTGATGATCTGGTCAAAACCGAAACCAAAGGCAAGGGAAGAATAGAGATGTTGAGCTTAAAGGAAGTGGTGGAAGGAGATGAAAAATTTTAATGAATACATTAAAAAGGACTCGAGTTAAAAACCAGCAGTTGGAAGATTTATGATAAAGAAGGATTGTTTTCCAGTCATACAGGGTTGATTGAAAATGGACAGATTAACTACTAGTAGCTTGAAATATGGTTAGCTAGTTTTGATTGCGGGCATGAAATTCTATGAATACCTTTGAGGGTAATATTTGGGAACATGGAGACTAAACAAGCAGGCAAATTGAATAGCCCCGAACATGACCAGCAATCTTTGCTCCGCTCAAAACATGTAGTCAGTTTTGTCAAACTGGATACTTTTTCCGTTTTTTTTTTAATGCTTATTTTTTACCATTTTAGAAAACGTTGTTATCATAACCTTATCCTGTGTGATTTTGTTTTCTATTTAAACCAGGTATTTGCTTAGTGCAGCAGATGCTTATCTATTATAAAAGGTTGAGATTTAGTTGATGTATGTCAGTCCTTCCTATTGGACTGTAGAATGCTTATGTTTTCTTTATTGAAGCTGCTGCTCCAGCCATTTGATTTTGCAATATCAAAACTTGGTTTTGAAAAGTTTAAAATATTTGTTTATTATTTATACATTGTTAAGTGTCAGGTGATGGGTGTCCACTTGCACTTGCCCTGGCAGGTTAAAGACAAGTTATATATTTACTTTATATAAAGAACCTTTTAAAATAGTTTTCTTACTGCCAGCAAGTATGTTTTTTTTTTTGTATTTTAAAACAGTTTACTTCAATAGATCATTTAAAAAATTAAAACAAACCTCATTTTTACAAAATGTCATCATGGAAAATGGATGAGTAGTACTTGTTTTAACAATTTAAATTTAGTTAACAATACTAAATGCCATGTGCATCAGTGCAAAATGCATCATTTTAATGCCTTAGTAAAAATGCTAAAAATACTTTGAATTTGACTTTTATTTTGTTAAGTATGACTAGTACAATTCTTTCATCTCACCAATACTGATCGTACAACTGGAACTGTGGATTGACTTTTTTATTTGGTGCCAAATATCCTAATCTTAATTCGTATACCCCTGACAAATATTGACAAAAAAAGATCAAAATCTGTCTTCAATATTGTGTACACCATTAATCAACACTGATTTTTGTATTCTAAGTACTTCTAAGGATATAATACATGGCTGTATCTGGTGCAAAATAAGTATGCTTCAATCAAGTTTTTCCTAGTTATATTCTCGGAAAAGAAGAGAGATGTCCAAACCTCGACCATTGATCTTCTATCAGAAATGCACAAAATCCTCAATAGTACAGTAGTTCAACAACTAAGGCAACCCGACATTCCCTCATAATGTTTTTTTGTTTCACATTAGGGAACTGTACAAAATAGGTCATAACACTTGAGCAAAATGTCTATGGCATACAAATTTGATCATGGCACATTAATTTTTTAACAAGCACAACTCAAAGAGAATGTTAATGAAAAGCAATTTCATACCCTCCACTGTCTGGACTTGCTCCAGGAAAAGATTTTCCTGCCTAACTACTTTATTTTCAGTCAAATCAAAATGGTCAACCAAATTTCAATAAACTTAGTCCACAGCCAGTAAAATATTCAATATTAACAAAGCCAAAAAATGAAACTAGAATGCGTTTGAATTAAATTAACAATGTTGAAATTAGCCCAGACTATAATTATCATTCTACTTTCAACTACAGTATAACTTAGTAAAAACAGAAAACATTATCCAAAGCTTGGTCTAGTGAGTTTTGTTAACTATTTAGTAACCTTTGATTGTGAAATGCTTTAAAATTATATAGAACTTTTTATAACTCTGTTACAAGGGGTATTGCATATATGCACTTGGCACATTGCACAATATAACACCGGTAAATACTATGAGTGGTGTAAAAAAAAAACTTTGACAATGTTTTATCACAATGTCATATCACTCATTTGACTGGTACTGTGACAGTATGTATTGAAAAAGTAAAATAACATATATGCAAAATTTGTTACCTTGGTTTACATAAACTAGTGAGTATTTTTCGAAGGACTAAAATAGTTGCAATGTCCTGAAGGGCAATAAATTGTAAATTACAAATGTTCAAAATTTGGGGGAAAAACTGAAAGATGTGTCATTTGTCTGAACTATTCATTTAAATTAGTCACACCAGACACTTCCAATTTGAAATTAAATTTAAAATTAAATACAAATTATTGCATTCTATGTAAGAGCAAAACCTCATTCAATAATTGAATTCAAAAAGAAAATGTTAAGTCAAATCATTCAAACCCTATATGATTATTTTTTTAAATGGAGTGAACATATAGTTTCTATAATATACTCAAGACCAATTACAATGCAAAACCAGAAACAAATGTAAAACAGCTGTTTTCAGGAACGTGATACCAGCCATAAGATGACATAAAGGGAAATAATGATATACATAACAGTAAGACGAAATATGAATAAAAATAACTTTTACTAGATCTGTGGTACTATCATCAATTTGACATGACAAAAATATGGGAGAAACGAAATTTTACAACACAGTGTTGTCAAAAACATAAATGAGAACAAATAATTATCTGTGATTGTACCTCTCAGTACATGTTAAATCGCTCCCTCTGCCAATCGCCCAGTTACCATACTGTTATATATGTAAGGTCACACCCTCTGCCAGTCTCCCAATTATCATACTGTTATATATGTAAGGTCACACCCTCTGCCAGTCTCCCAATTATCATACTGTTATACATGTAAGGTCACACCCTCTGCCAGTCTATCAACTATCATACTGTTATACATGTAAGGTCACACCCTTTGCCAGTCTCCCAATTATCACACTGTTATACATGTAAGGTCACACCCTCTGCCCCAATGCCAGTTTCCCAGCAATCAAAACCTTCAAGAGATAGCTGCTGGATCACACAGTCTAAAGTTTCTTTGGGAACATCTGAAAAGTATAACTAGGTTTACTGCTTGTTCTATGATTATTGTTATTAATATATAACAATTTATAATAAGTAGAAATAAATTGGCAAGAATATTCGACCAGAAATGGACATTTTTATACTGATATTGAAATTTATTCCATTTTATATTTTATAGCAATTTCATTCACTTGCGTACAAAACAAGGAATTGAAAGATCAACAAAGAACTTTCCAAATATTACTGGTTATCATTTCGAGCATTCAGAGTGTAAATTGCTCACATATTTTTTTAAAAGTTCTTATAAATATTTCTTTGGTTACATTTTGTTGACTCTAGATACATGATGTATGACCAATTACAAACATCAGGGGCGGATTTAGGCCGTCTTCTGGGTCTTCCGGAAGACGGTCAGATTTTCAAGTTTACATTGACGAGTATCTAATTTTTTCTGTCGGAAGACGGTCAAAAAGTGGAGGATGGATCAACAAATATAATATAGAAGACTGTCAGAAAATATCTCTGGATCCGCCCCTGAACATGGTCAATCAGCACATCAGACATGGACCAGTCTACTTAGAGCTGAAAAATATTAACCTCACCTGGTCTGATAAGAGCGAAGGCACAGCCTCCTCCTCCTGCCCCAGTGAGTTTAGAACACAGGCCATTGGCTTTAGTTATCTGAATTACTTTTTCTAATGCTATATGACTGACTCCTATAATATCTAGCTGTTGCTGATTAATGTATATGAGTTCCTGAAAAAGACAAAAATATCAAAGAATTAAAAGCTTATTTTGCAAAAACATTAATCTGATATGGAATTTTTAATACATGGGTCTTTAAATGGACTAAAAGGCCAATTTAACTTTCGGGTTTGTTCCCTTCATGTTGATAGAAAATTCCTAGAATATTCTTCATAGAAATCCATTTATGTAGACAATGTTTAAATATAAATATCCAGTTCTTCAGCAATATAGAAAAGGCATTGGCCAAGAACATCAAAATCACAAATGGTTGAGAAACTTGAAATACAAACTATGACACTGCAGATGTACTTACTTCTAATTGCTTATAATATTCATCTGCTTTTCCTTTGTACATTTTCTCAAAGAGAATGAGACATTCTTTTGCCACGGCTTCCATTGTGTCCATCACTGCACTCATTACAACTGTGGACTAAAAGAGTTCCATAAATATATGATAGATTAGTTAACAGTTAAGCTTAATTAATTCTGCTAATAAGTCCAAACCTGAAATCTTTAACTGCTATTAATGGTATCAATTTGCAATGTCAATTCATAACAAGTAGACTCCTACAATTCAAGCATGAGTAAATCAGTTAAAATATATTGTTGAAATTTCTGTTTTTGCATAGGTATGAAACAAAATATAGCTATAAAATTTTAATTTTCACTCTCTGAATGTGGAGGAATTACAGTCTTACTTTGTCATATTTTTTCTTGACTGATTCCACCAGTGTCTTTGTGCTTCGTGGTACTTTAGTATTAACCAAAAGAATTCTAATGGAAGGAACTCTAAAAATAAGAAAGTTTAATCGTTAATGAAGAAAAATAAATTTGAAGTCTGAAGTGGATATCAAACACAAAATAATGTTAGAAAATACACTGAATTAGAATAAAATCTCAATGACTGAAAATTTACACTTACTGGGACAATATTACTGGCTCAGAACCTTTGGTGAATGAAACAGCATGGCCTACAGTAATAGAAAAAAGAATTATATTTCTAATAATCAAAATTTAGATAGCCAAAAGAAAATCCATGATTATAGTTGAATGTCATACACTGCTTGTGTTAGTGTGCAGTTTTGCTGTTGTATGTAACACGAAGTGTATATATGTTGCCAAAATCATTTCGTCATAAATGTAATATGGGTTGTTGGTCTAAACTAATGAAATAAATTACTACTCTATTAAATCTCATTCCTTACCATAAGTACTAACAGAATTATCAATTCCTGAAGGTTTTCCATGAATGACCTTCTCTGCTTGAAATGCCCAGGCATTGATTAGCTGGAGGTCTTTTTCAGACCACTTCCCACTAGCTGCAGGAATATTAATGTTCAAATTATTGAAAAAAAATCATATGTTTTATACTTAATATTTAGACTTCGCAAAACATTTTATTTAAAGTAATATTTTATTACCAAAAACACATATGTAATTACGGAGATATATCAGAAATAAACTAGTGTAATTGATTATCCTGAACATCTAAAAGTTGCTGAAATTGATCAGATGCACTTTATCAATTCTACTTTTTACACAGTCTATTCAATTTCAACTCATAAAATATGTCTGTGTCAAAAGTCTTACCTGAGATCAGATTTTTGTGCAGCAGTAAGCTGGCAGCTAAGCAGACCGAGTATGCAGCAGAGGAACCCAGGCCTGCACTTACTGGGAGCTTGGACTCAATACGGATCTCTAGTGGAGTTAAAGTTCTAAAACCAATACCAGACTTTTAGCACGAAGGTTATATATATCATATTCTTTTCAAGTTATACTGGGGAAAAACATGTACACAAACATATAAATACATATTGATTGAACACTATTTTTATTTAACAAGGATATAAAAAGAAAGGTTTGGAGTTCACTTTACAGCATGTTTCAATATGGATCTCACTTTAATTGTTTTTATGGCATGGTAAAGGCAGAACAAAAAAGATAAAAATAAAGTAGTATCTGCCATTGCTTACTTTTGTGACCCTACAATGGCACAGTACAGATAGAGGAAAGAGACCAGTGCTAATGTCTTTGTGTCTGCACTGTCATGTGGAATGCTAGCAAAGGTCTTCAACTTCTGAAGCAACTCTTCAGATGGAGGTGCTGGTTTCTCAGGATCACCTGGAAAATAAAACAGTAATCTTTGTAAAAATCTAAACAGTAGTTTATTTTTGGAAGAAAATAAAATTGCAGTTTTCAAATAAAATAGTTCAATTTTCATAGTTCAATGATGATTGTATTTGTAAAACTTATAAACTTGATGACAGTGCAAATATCTTGCATGCAACAAGAATCCGTAAAAAGTGTTAACTTAATAGTTCCAACTAAATGTTTGTGTCTATAACCTAGTCTTATTTGGGGGCATCAATTCCTAAAAGAGTAGATTCATGTGAATACTTAGCATGCCCATGTGCATATTGAAATCTGTAAGTTAAAAAAATAAAAACGTGTAATAGGTTATTTCCATAGGTACCTAAAAAGTTAATGCCTCATCAATGAGAGCGTGAGTATGACCAGTTAATTTACAAGTGTTAAATATGAAAGTGTCGGTGGAACATACACACTGGCAGGGCCACTGCTGCCGCAATCTCTGGGACACTCCAGCCCACTTCCACGCCAATATCTGGGAGGTGCAGGAGGACGTCATCTTTATCATGGATGGTTTTAATGTGGAGGGTTGTACGGAGAGAAAGGGCTGCAGCGACAGCAAGCTGAAAATTTGGCCGACGCAACGTTTAAGCAATAAATTAAAAAGGCACATAATGTATCACTAGCACAACTGTACACAATGCAAATCGGTATTCAGAATCTTTTTCAGATATTGAATTATTTCAATAAAATTTAAGAAATAATATTTATTGCAAAAGTTTCTTTCACGTGGCATTACCTTTCCGTAGACCACAGCATGTTCACCGTGGAGAATAATCTTTCCTGGTGCGGACACTACGAACTCTTTGCTCACCATTCCGACAGTGTTACCATGCAAAGTCAACAGAGCCGCGTTGTCACACCATTTTTTCATACAGTGCTCTCCTGATGAGGTGATCGGAAGTCACAGGCCGCAGGATGTTTACGACTGCTATGCATACTGGGATATTTTCAATATGGCAGCGCACATATGCAGAAGTGGAGCTGGAGTTTTTCTTCAAAAAATTTCAAATTCCTCAAATATATGTCGTGCAACATTGCCCATTTTAACTCATCTTAATAGAATGTGGCCAGCACTATATCACACGTCGAGGTAAGGTGCATACAACTTGAAATTTAAGTCCTGTCGATAAATATTTTGTTGAGAAATAAAGTGACAGATTAACTGCCATTGACTTTGATACCGTTAACTGTTTGACTGTTGTTTGTTATTTAATTAGTATTTTGTCATTTCAGTTGTCTTTGCAGTAGTGAGGAGCGCAAAGGGCCTAAATTATACACAGGCACTGGTGATAAAGGTAGGCTTACGAACAGTGCAGTTGGTCCGGTGCAGATGTGAAACTCAAACTGAACATTTCTTTGCTATTCTTTTCTTAGTACTGAAGCCATTTGACGGGCAAACATTGAAAGAGCAGCAAGTTAATTGTTGAAATCATTTGAGTAGCAGAGACGTTACCCAAAAACATAGAAAATTTAAGACTTACATTTATAAATTGGGGAGGGGAGGGGTGATTCTGCATAAGTACCCTTGTTTTAACTTTTAGTCGTGTCCCTTAAATGCGCAATACACTGCAATACAGCACAACACACTAGAGAAAACAAGCCAGTGGCAGGTTATCACAGGAAATGGAAACAAAATAGGTTGACATAAAAGTGAAATATATTACCAGGTAATAAATATCATTGATACAGCTTAACAAATTGGCATGACTTCTTTATCGATCAGTTGGCGAGTGACTCTTTAGATAGGCAATATGGCGGAGGACCCAACCTAAGCAAATCATACCAACTTGTTAAGTTGTATAAACAATATAAATTACCTAGCAATTAACTTCGCTTTAATATCACCCATTTTGTTGGGAGTGGCTGTTTTCTATGTTTATTTTTAATGGACTCATTTTTTCTAGTGAATTGCACTGTGTTGTGTTGGCGCAATATGCATTTTAGAGACATCATTGTTTGACCTCATGTCTTTGATTATCTGCTTTGCTTGCTTGTGATTAATTTTGCATAAATGCATTTTTTAAAAAGTTCTAATGATTAATCTATTGCTTACTTTTTTTTGGTTCTATACATGCAGTTTTAATTGAGGCATAAAAATGCATAAATAGTATGACTACTAGTAGTTCACTGGATCAATATGCATTTTAGAGACATTGTTTGACCTCATGTCTTTGATTATCTGCTTTGCTTGCTTGTGATTAATTTTGCATAAATGCATTTTTTAAAAAGTTCTAATGATTAATCTATTGCTTACTTTTTTTTGGTTCTATACATGCAGTTTTAATTGAGGCATAAAAATGCATAAATAGTATGACTACTAGTAGTTCACTGGATAAAATTGTTATTTTTTTGAATATTTTTGTTTGATTAACAAGGTACTTCAGCCACATTCACTGGTGAAAGGAGATCCAAAGATGATGTTATATTTGAAGCTCTTGGAACAATAGATGAGCTGTCATCAGCACTTGGGTAACCATGATATCTCCTTTTAATAAACAGACTATAATTTTTTTTGTAGCTTTCATTTAATGGCATGTCATTAAAATTTAAAAATTGGAAGATATTAAAAATTATTGAACAAGTTAATCAAATTGGAATACCATGACAGTTTGTATGATATACTTATTGGTTATTTGTGATTTAACTGTAAAATGTACTATCAATACATCATGAAAAAATTACAGCTCGGTCAGCTTCTCTTTCAGTATGATGTAAAATGTAAAACTTATTTCCCAGTATAATTCTGTTTTTCAAATACATCCCTATTTCTCACTTCAGACTCACCTTGGAATTTTTTAAAGAATCTGACAAACTTCAAGAATGTATTCCTTATCTTGATCAGGTGAGGTTGATTGAAATAATTGATTGAAATAATTATTTTAGTGATTTATACATTTTAGACAAACTTAATTTAAATATATACATGTAAAGGTACATTATTCATAAAGATGAACAGTAGATTTTTAGTGCATATTTAATATTTGCTTTATAACCATAAGGCCATTTTTAGTTTTTTTTAATGTAAAAGCCAGTGAGTCAGTCATATTAATGTCATGTTCAAGAGCAATATTGTGGCTTCAAGTCTTTGCACCATAGACAATGAAAACCCGTTTTACAGCATTTCAAATCTAGTATAAAATACAACACTCCTCATTCAGTATGAACTGAATAATGTCTTTTATGTTGCAGATTCAGTGTGTACTGCAAGATGTTGCCTCCAATGTTGCAACACCTAAAAGTTCAGCAAGACAACCACATCTTAGTAAGTTTGTACAATGTATGTGGACAGTTGATGATACTGATTTGTGACTAAGTAAGTCACAGTAATGCATGCAGTAAATTAGCAGTGAATGGTTTTTGATTCAAATATTGAATTATAGTTATTGTTTTGTTAACAAGACTTGTATCTCAGCAAAATTGTATAAATATTTCTTTCATCTGAAATTAAAAAATATCAACAGGTTATACTTTTTTCTGAATTAAGAACAAACATCATTTAGTCATCTGAACACCACAGACTTGGAACAGTGGATTGACTTCTTCCATGATGAATGTCCACCCCTGAAAAACTTCATATTGCCTGTAAGTACCTGGCTGAAGATAAACAAAGGATTTGGGCACAAATACAGACTGTGAACTTGTTTTAGTGTGACTCTGTAAAATGATAATTGATAATTTGTGGGTTTTTTTTTCAAAACCAGCTACTTACATAGTTGTGCTGTTTCTTATGGTTGCAGTATTTAATTTGGAAATTAGAATTTTTGGCAGTGATAGATCTGAATTTAAAAGGAAATGTTTCATTCATTAGTAATTTTTACCTTTTAATTTTTTCCGTTGCACATGTGTTTGGCATTACAGTTTTAAGGGGGGATCCATACTACTGGAAAACCACAGCCTCTTCACTTCAAAAGAAAATTTTGTACTTCCAGTCTGGCGGAAAAGCAAGTTCTTCTTTACACTTGGCCAGGGCTATCTGTCGAAGAGCAGAAAGAAGGTATATTTACCCTTGCGCATGATTAAGGACTCTAAAGTGTTTTCATGGAAACAAAAATTCAAGTGTGCCACATGCCATTTTGTTTTCAGAGCAAAAAGAGTAGTTTCACACTTCTATCAAATTGTTTGAATTATGCTTTGTGAGCCAGGTACACCTGGATGGGAAGAAAGAGTAATGAACTGATAAAATTTCCAGCTTTTTTTACCTAGTAATCCTTATTTTAGTAAATGAAAGAAACTACCTTGCAAAATAAACAGAAAATTTAGATTGTAATGTTAAATTGAATGTGGATTGAGGAATTTCCTTTTGCACTTCTGTTTTTTTTTTTGACTACTTAATGGCTGTCTTGACCACAACATCTGGAACAAGGCGCCGTGAATGGAAGTCAGACTTCCTGTTTGAATCATGGTTTGTTGAATTTGCCATTACCTTGGCAGCCACACTAAAGTCAGTATGACATAACTGTTATACATTATTGCAAGCCAATTAATACTGTTGGGCGAAATTGAAATCGCTCTGTCTGTGATTGGAGTTGATTGTGCTGAAGTTAGTGAATCCACCTCCACAGAAATGCCAAACATTCATACCATTAACTTGGGTGCCTCTAGTTTCTATAGTGCTGTGTTAGAAAAACATTTCGCTCCTCTTAAATAGAATACAAGTGTAATATCACAGGTAAATCAACACTTGATGTTCATATCCATTTATATACCTGAGTGAAGAAAGGCATTGGGTTTAAATTGCTTGAGTACAGAGGAAGAAAACTATCACATATATCACTATCACATAAGCTCGTGTCCACCTAGCTAATAGTCTAAGCAAATCTTGCCACATAATTCTTTAGTTTCTGTTAGTTTCAAAAGTAAGACTAAATAAGAGGTGTGCAAGAATATTAATAGTCCATACATGTTGCAGTGCATTTACTGATTTTCAGTTTACAGTGCATCATGCAACAGTAACAAGAAGATTGCATGTCATAGTTCTTGTGAGTTACAGATAAAGTTGTTTTTCTTTCTCCAAATTTCCATTTGACCTCTATGGTTGCTGGACACAACTTTTAAAAATGGGTTATCTGTTTAAGAAGTCCTAAATCGAACTTGACTCCTGGATATGATATATAAACAAAATATGAATACCTACACACTTAAATAACTCTTTACTTGTCGCAGACCATTTGGAAAAGCTGTAGTGAAGCCATCTTGAGCAGTGGGGAAATGTTTAATGCATTTGCTGAATTTTTTCCTTTAATTTTTTTTCTTTTTCCTAAAATTATTTGCTTGGATGGAAAGAATTTAGGTGAGATGTATCTGCAGAAAGACGCAATTAGATTATAAATTCATTTTTATTGGTTTTGGTTTTGGATTGAGCCTTAGATAAGTCCCTGTGAGTAAACACTGACTGGAGATATGAACTGAGATGAAATTGGGATGATTCACTCCACTTGAGACCTGGGCAAATAGATCAATGTGACATTGAATCACAGGGAACTGTCTCTTGAGATGTCAATGATCTGTCATTATTGTGGTCAGAATACACTGTACTTACTCCTCTTTGTGGTTTGTGGTATTTTCACTGGAAGTTCAAGAGTTCACTCTCAGGTGTTTTCATTATTTTTTTTTCAAGTTTTATGATTGATATTCTTTAGAAGTTGGCCTCGTACAAAAATGATTGGTTTTCACATGGGAATATCAGTTTATTTTGATAGTGTTAGATGGATGTCAAATACCTGACAAATACTGGACTGGTTCCACTGTGGGGTTTGTTGGTAAAATCACAGAGACATGTGTTCCTTCTTACAAAATCAGGTAGTCTTTTTCAGTGCAACTTGTAGCAAAAGGAAAGAGTTGAATAAGTACTTGTCTTCTAAAATTGTCTGTAGTAAACATTGAGAAAGGTGATTGACCACCCTGGAGGTTAAAAATTGTGCAGTATGTGGCTAATGTCCAGTTTAGTTGTATGTGGCTAATATTTATCTTGTCAGTTATATATATGTATATATATAATATCAAATATGTTTTTTATTCTTAGTTTTTTTTTACAAAATGCATCTTTTAACATAAAAGGCCCTGATTAAAGCTGCTTACCAGACACTACTCTTTTGTAATCCTTTTCTGCATATTCTCCAATCAGGTGACTCTAGTCACAGTGTTATCTACACCTGTGAGAGATGTCTTTATATGTGCCAATTTCATCAATTTTGGTGTGTATGCACAAATGGCCTTGAGCCTAGAAAATATTAGTAAATGAATTTTAATTTACTTATTATGAGTAGTCAGTGCATTTAAAACATAATGTCAAATACTCATCATATAAAGTTGTCGTAATTATCTTCTTACCCCCCCCCCCCCCCCACCATTTTCACTGAAAGCCAATATGTAATATTAGATTTGCAATCAGTATACAATGTCAGGTTATTATATAGTAACTGGAGAAGGTGTTTCTTTTCAGTTCAAAACCACATAAACTTTGAACATTCAAGCCAAACAAGGCCCCATCCATCCTCTTCTTCTCCATGCCTTCATTAGTTACAGATGCCAAATAACTGCAGCCACTTTCAGAAACCACAGAAACGAGAAAAATTTCCTGTTCCCTTTTAAGTACCTGGATTTCTCCCCCAGGTTAAACTAAAAATTTGACTATATACTTATTTGGTGGAATTGGATATGTTGTTTTTTCTATGCCCTTTGGTGCATATTTGCACATTGATAGTTACTATTGTTTTGTTACTATTGTTATACTTGTATTCTATGTTTACTTCAAAGGAAAAGATGCTGTATTTTATTATTTATGTAGAGCAGTAAAATACTATAAAAGACTTTTGTCAGCATCATTATGTTTTATTTATTATACATATTATTTCCCTTAAGTCAGAAGAAAATGATATAGAATTATGCTTTCTTCTCTTAGAAGTGCTTTGATTATGGTATATACATTAGCATTCCATGGGTTATCTGAGGATTTGTGCAGTCTATAAATTGTCATCAGTTTTATTTAAAAAAGGGATATAGTCAATCTCAAGGACTGTATTTTTCAGGATTTATACACCCTAACAGTGCATTATTTGGCGATAACAACCAGAATCCAAATGCAATAAAATTGCACACTGATGCCATTTTGAAGAATGGCTTATTTTACAATATCATGATAGATAAGGTTTTATAACCTGTATAATGGTTTAATAAATGTACAAGCTGATATAATTTCTAAAAATGCAGTGATTCCGTCTTGCAGGATATATAATTCAGAAACTTCATATCAGTTAGAATTGAATCCGAATAATTAAATTATGCACAGATTTAAATGCTATCAGTGACACACACATCATTCTGGCAGCATATTAAATTTTACTAACTCACTACAATCCAGTCCAGATTAAAATTGCACCCTGATTTAAATTCTAAAAATTTCACACATTTCAAACTTGCAGCATATAAAACTTTATAACTTTTGAACAGTCACATCCAGATACCTTTTGTATTACTCATTTTACATATTGCATAACAGTGCTCCCACCTGAACACATATGTGACCAGTAATCACATGTGCCAATGCTGCGGCCTGGTAAAACACATGGTTGTGGTCAGCACAGTGTGTTCACAAGCATGACTCATTATAGTGTCACCTGAGACAGGAGTTAGTCCAGTATTTTATGTGTCTCTTGTGTCACCAGCTTTTCGACTTTGATGTTTTAATTAGAGAAATACATTTAACCCCAGTGATGACTTCATTTGTCCATTCCTATAACTTGTATTTATAATAAATTTGATATATAATAGTGTACTAGTAGTATGTTAGTACATGCTGTTTACAAGGGCTATCCCCACTCTTCCACTGTATAACCAGTATTTATATTATTATAAAAAAAGAATGTGAGGGATAAGATATTACCTTAGTATTAATGTTGTGGTGTAAATAATTTAAACAGTGATGTAAAGCAGCATTAAGGCATTGCTTGGGGTTAGGGTGACTAACATTGCTACACCTGCAGCTATCAATTTCCACCTAAAAATGTCCAAAAATTTGAAAGAAGTGCCTGAAATGAAAAATCTTTATTGTTCTTAATGCAATGTTACAAGATTCCCATTAAGGGGCTCCTATTTATTTTCATTGGATGACACTGGAATGTCATCAGAGCAAAAAGAGGAAACTAACTAGAAACAAGAAAAAGGTATAGAATAATTTGAGAAATTAATATAGTTATGTTTTGCATTTATAGAACAATTTTGAAATTCTCCTTCCCATGAGATGAAATATGCAAAGAAATTTCAAATTAAGAAAAGAAGTGACACAGAGTGCATTTTTCATTGTCCTTAATCATGACTGAGGTATATGAAATATTTTAAGTACTCCTTGTTAATATGTGGCCTTTGCTGAACATCTGTGCCTTACCTGACAAATTAATTATAGAGACGACAAATAAGGACAGGTCACCTGGCTGAGATTAACCCATGAGCTCTGGTTTTGTAATTAATGGTTTTAATTATATGGATATTCATCTCTTAATTGGTTTCCAAATGCTAATTGGTTTGTAATTTGATTATTGGGCTTTCCACTGTATGCTGTCATTATAGTGGTTTCTTGTCTTTAACAAGAGCTAAACAACTGTAATTTATTTCATTACATGCTTTGTGTGTCAGTGCTATGGGTATGTGGGGGTTATTTATAATGATATGTATATGTAAATAAAGAGAGAAAGAAGAAAAGACTAATTATTAATGCTCCTATGTAGACATGCAAACTGCCCATTTTGTGAATTTTGTCACACTAAGTAAGACTGAAGTATACTTTTCCAAAAGAAAAATAGATCATTAGATAAAATACATGAAAAAAATAATGATTTAGTAGATAAATAAAGAAGTTACAAATTAAATGAAAATGTCAAGTGATTATAAAACTAATTGTTCCAAAAAAAAAGGTACATTTGAAAATTATTTATAAGGCAAAACAGTGCTTGAGAACATAGATTTGATATTTAAAAAATGCCTTTTGGCAGTTTAACATTAATTTGAGAAATTTAAATCATAAACAGTTGATGTTGAGTACACAAACAGTCAACTGTAAAAAAAATAATAAAATAATAATGAAAATGAGTGACCCCATAGAAAGTTTTCCACAGAGGACCACCTTGGTCTGTGTAGAAAACAAGCAGGATGTGGTACTTGTTTTAATGAATACCTGCAGCTCTGAGAACCTTTCAACTTTTTGTGGCAATCAAATAAGCACCACTCACATGAATAAAACACTTCTTGGAGATATCAGTGTGATTAAGGGTGTTACTAATTTTCCTTGCAGGAGATACTCTTGAATTTAAAGCTATATTACTTATTTGATTCTACATTCATTTGCCCCAAAATGTCTTTTGCTTATGCTATCATCTCTTTACTATTAATCACACATAATGATGACCTCCTGCCCTTTCTGTTTTTGCTTCAATTTTGAGTTAAGAATATGTTTTTGATGTAGAACCTCCTCATTTTCTTATTCTCCAGGTATCAACTGTGCAAACTACAGCTGTAAACACTCTCTTTACTTCTCCTGTGAAATGTCTCAATAGAATTGTGTTTAGGTTTCTCAGTAATTGTCAAAAACATATTTTACAGTTTATACCAGAAAATAAAACACAGTGATGATTGATGTGAATTATTATGGTTTTATATTTGCTATATTTTTTTCTTTCAGAGTTGTCCCTTTACAAAAAGCAGGAGAAATAGATCCAGAACCACTGAAGTATTTGAACAGGTATTTTCATATGATTAATGAAAGATTAAGACAAAGTTAAAAAGTTTGATGGAATGCTTTCTTAAAAAATGTCTGTTCAAATTTTCATCACTTAAAATTACCAGTTATGTTCCATTAGACTTGTGTATATCAAGAAAACACTTTCTTAATGAGTTATCAGTGTTGACTTAGAAAAAAAAGTGAGGCCAGTTCATTTTGGGTCATTCTGTACCCTTTTCTTAGTAGACTATGGTATCAGCTTTACCATTACCAGTGTGTTGCAATAACACCATTACTGTTATCAAGACCATTGCAAAGTTATGAGATTATCCCTGATGTTATTGTGGTTTTAGTGTGGTTTAAATATAAGGAAAGAGAAGTTATTTAAAGCTACACTTTTTGGAGAACCCTGCCATTTTCTGTTAGGTAAATTATTTATAGAACCAGTGGGGGTGGATGGAGGAGAAGGCCTGTAACATTTCACGTTGGCAAATTGTGCAATTTACTCAGCTCTCAAGGTATTAATTTCTGTTTGAACAAGTTAATTTGGGTACCTTAAAGATTGTTTAAGCAACTAATGCGGCTGTTGCTCCAGCGGTGTGGATAAATGAAGATACTGTTGTTTCTACAAAGTGTGAGTTAGGGAAACGGCACATGTAAGTTTTATCTCTGTCAAACACTTTGTGGACAAAGCTGTTTTCTTTAGATTTACATCTGTTTCTGAGGGTATCTTACACACTAAATGCTCATTTGAAAATAATTGTGAGTGGATATAATGCAACTTCTTGCACATTTATACAGATATTGCCTCTGCCATCCACATGCAATGGGAATGTATTTTTCACAATATTACAATTACATATTGTGCCATATGTGCAGAGAGAGGAAGAGAGGGAGACACTAACAAAGACACACATGAAGAAACAGGCAGACAGACAGATAGCCACCTACACCTTCACACTAAAGATAATGTATTTCCTGCACATCTTGACAATGCAACTGTACAGCAACATATGGTAAACCTCTCTGCCTTCCATTGAAGATGACAGATACATCAGATGTGGTTTCTGTCTCATAATTTTACCTGCTTACCTCGCATCTCAACTCACCTTTGATCTTACAAATAATTGTAGGTAATTACCCAACTAAATATCCATTCCAGCTGTTCGTTTTTGATTAATCAGTGATAAACACCCATGAAATAGACCAGTCTTTCGTTGAGGGGCTAAACTTAGTCGCCACTGCCCTGGACATTAGGTCTACTGTGCCTGTGAATGTTATGTAGTTCTGACCTGAGGATACTTGTTATTGCATTGAGGGCAGGGGATTTATGGTAATGTACCTTATTCCTATTACTGAAGACCAGTGTTGAAGTTTTCTTGACCTTGTTATTGCAGAAAAACATCTGATTCTTGTGTTGATAGAACTCTTATGTGAAACATATTTTTTCTCTTGAAAAATATTGCTGACTGATTAAAAAATAAATGTTAAACAACCATGGGATAAATTTCTTTTTTGAAAGAATTTTGTCTCCTTGCATATATCTGTGTTCATGTAGTCCAAAATTGATCCACCTAATTTACGATAATTTAGTTACATGGATAAAAAAGTTGTTGTGTCATTTTCACTTTAAAAATCCATCTGAAATTAGATTTGTAAATGTTATAAAGATATGGTTGAAGGTCAGGAGATGTTGCATGTCATATATAGTACATTACCTTACATCAAGCCAATAAGTCATTAAACAGTTTTCAAGCTGTTAATGATATCAAACTGATAAAAATGATTCAGACTGGGAACCTAATCTTTTAATCTCTAATCTAGATATACAACTATATCATTTCAATCTGAAAGTGACATTATCCAGAAAAAGTCACCACATAAGGGGTGTTTGCGCATCTGGAGGAAGACGTGGAATACAACACATGTCTTTATTTGTGGTGAAATTTATGGAATAAATTTTATCATTCGCCCATTTTCTCTCGTGAAATACCACAAATTTTTCACAAAATTTCAAGAAATATATTTAGCAATAATGAACATTCTGATATAACCAAGTTTTATGTTTGCACTCGATCCATGCTCTTCTATTAAAATGATCTGACTCACAACCGATGATAACTAATCATTGCAGCATATTAGAATATACAATTATAGCCCATAAATTTGCACCCATCTATAAGGATGGGGCCATATTTAACCGAGCCTGTCTAAATTGTTTCCTATGGCATTACACCATAATATTTACTGTTGACAGGCATTGTTCTGCTGTGATTTTTCACAGTCCCTGACAAGAGCACAAAGGCCTATTAGATTTTATATCAAAACAAGTGTAGAAACCACAACCACATTTGCCAAGAATAATTGAGGCAATTTGTACTTGGTAAAGCTTGGACTTTTACTGTTTTGATGTTTATTTTGCTAGTGTTTGGTTTATTTGACCTTTTTTGTTTGTGGTTACATGACCAATCTGTCAGCACATGATTTAAAAAAATTCATATTTTGTAATAGTAAAACCCATTGCCTCTCTAGGACATTGGATATAAAAATACTTGGGGACAAGGACTTCTCTGATATATATGAGATCAATTTTTTTCTAAGATTGCACTTTATAAAATGACTACACGTACAAACTGACATGATTTGAAGATCAGACCACTGCCAAAGCAAAATGTAAATAATGATTTTTTAAAAATCTTTCAGAAAAAACGAAAGGTTAACTGAATTCATCTGAAATTGTAAATATTTTCCCTTCCATCAAAATTTGTGAAGAACTGTTTGTCCAATTACAAACCAGTTTTAATGGAACCATTCCTTAGTTACACAGGTATCAGACCTGAAGGAGGGAGTTCAGGTACACCAGGAGGGAGTTTTATATTTACATACATGTTGTTTTACACTTTCCTCTGTGGTTTAAAGATGGAGGCGTAGGTGTATTATTATCCTCTTGCCTCATGCATACATCATCACCTGCAAAGTGAGGTTATAATGGGGTCATTCTAATTGATGCCTCCTTCTAATAGGCTTGTTAATTAAGTGGTAAGAGATCATCAGATTAATTAAATGCTAAGTAAGGCACTTGTTAAGAGTTCACAGAAGAGAAGGTAATCCAGTGTAAAAGGTTGGCAATATATATATTCAGATTGGGTGGATTATTTATTTACATTTACTGTGTTTTTGTTTTTGAAACATGCGATGTCATTGTGCAGAAATATTGCAGCAAGTGTTCAGTACTACCATAACAAATCTGTTTGTAAGTTGGCCAAGTTTTTATTTTTTTATGTATGTTTTGGGTTTCTTTCCATCCCAGCAGTGATATCGAGGGATGATCCTGAACTTTTTGAATAAACACAACACAAAGAAATTACACTCAAACAAAATATTCACCCTGTTGTTGTTTACTGTTTTGTGTTCAACCTTCTTTGTTTGTACAAGTGAGAAAAACATGAACTAAAATTATTTCCTTAAATACAAGAATTGTTAACAGTTAATTTTAATCAATTAAACATTTATCAACAGAAATAACAAGACATAAGATTAGATTGCATCTTTGAGCCTTTGCCAGTATATACAAATGAAGTGTAAAATTAAGGTCATGAACTGGTAAAATATCCCTAAATATTGGTGTCAGATGAGGTTTGAAAGTATTCAAACAGATGTGCTACTTATTTTTAGAGTTCTGGAGAAAATTAAGCTGATGAAAAGCCATTTATTTTTCATTGTGTTCTTACAGTGCAAAGATTAGCTATTACCAGTGAGGACAGGGCAATTTTTTATCACTTTGTGTAAAAATACATTTGAAATAGAAAATTAGATTAGATGATATATAATCTTCTGTTATTTTGTATACATTACTGCTTAATATCAGTTTACAAACCAAAGTAAATTTAGTTTTCACCTAAAATGTGTTTGAAAGAATTGGTGGATTAGATAATAAAGACTTTGGTTATGTAATCCTGGCTGTCAGCAAAAAAAAAGGTACTCACTTATTTTCTTCACTAAATATCATTAACCACAGATCAGTGATTGAATAATAACTCCTCAGTACATTGAACAGTTATTAATACAACTTAAAAGATATGGTATGTTTATGATAAGAATATGAATTATTGCAGTTTATTGAGTGCTAAATGTTTTATTGTTACATTTGCTAGTTCTATACACATTTTATACAGATATGATTAATACAAAAATATGAAAAAAGTATTAAAAGACAACGATTGCATTAACATTATATTTTTCTCAGGGTCATTTATTTTTTATAAACATGTTAAGTGCTGAAGTCTTCCCTGGAGTTTGTATTTATAACTACACAGTGTCCCAGACAGTGAACAATCAGAAACAGTTTGAGAAACAGACTTGGGGTATAGATTTCTGTTTTACCAGGGATACACATTTCACAGTCTATTTTCTCTCCAGTTTTCTAATTTTTTTCACTTTTTTTTTCTCAGGTTGAGTGACTTCCTGTTTGCAGTGGCCAGGTTTGCAGCTATGAAGGAGGGACACAAGGAAAAAATATACAGAAGAATTCATGTATCAGACAGTGACTAATAGTATACCAAATATTAAGTAAAGAAGTATTAAAAACAAGATACTGAGATATGAAATAAGAATTGGAAACAGGAAGTGTACATCTTCATCAATAAGCAGATGTATGTTATCTTCCGCATGTTGGGTATTATTCAGTTATGGAATGGCTTCTTTGCCTTGCAGTCAGGTTAATATTGCAAATGCTTATTTATTTTTGGAATGGCTTCTTTAACCAACAGTCATATAGATATTAGACCTGCATATTTATATTAACTTATTGATGCGCAGATACTGTGAAATGAACAAAGTGACCACAATGTCATCATGGTTGTGTATTTTATCAGAGTTTATCAGAGCTGAATAAAAGCATGTGGCTTATTTTTTGCATTTATTTTAACTAATTTTACTACACTTTGTAAAGCATATGATATACTATTGCACAGTGTAAAGCGCCATGCAAAGTGGTTCTCTACATGGGTAAAGGTGGTGTAAAGGACCCAACTGATAATGGCACAAAGTTTTTGAGTGCAAAATTTCCGAACTATTTTAACGTCCCTGGACTAAGGCTCCATTCTTTTTACAAAAAGAAATTCCTGAAGATTGAAGAGTTTGTTGTCCTCAGCTGTACCTGCTTCCTACAACCTTTTGTCCTCAAACCACAAGAAAACACTTGACATCAAACTTTGAATTATAGACATAGAATTGCCTCACCACTCAAAAAAGGTACTGCTTGATTCTAATTTCAACCATCTGGCAACCCTCCACCAGATGACAGCACTTGTGCTTTGGGAAATTCTGTAGGAAATGAGTAAGTTACTGGAGTGGGAATCACCCAAGATATCCTAAGACAAGGCCTTCAATACTGCATGATGTCATACAAGACTAGAAAATGTCTAAGAATCTGTGTGAAGAGGGGTTAACTTTTTAATGATGAGGAAGAAACTTCATGCGTTGGGAATGTTTTTGTAAAAAGCAATGCAAAAGTGACATCTAAAACGTGGAATATTTATTTGTACTAAGACTAAGACTGTAAGACTATAATTTGAAAATGAGAAAATGACCAGAAGAATCTCTTTGTATAAGTTGAGTCAGCCTTTATTTTTATTCATTGCTGCACTGCACTCCCTAGTCTGCCATTATTTCTGATCCAGCTCACCTCCAAATCTCATGAAATTTTGCTTGATTTTACACTGTGTCATGGGACTTTGGGCTATTTTGGATGATTCCCATTGTAGTTTATTATTTTGTTTTATCTGTTGATTTTTTTCATGACATGTAGCTCATTGTATTGGTTGTTATTTAAATTTTTCTAGTTGAGGAAAGACCTGGCATCATTTCTAAATTTATTTTTAAAACTTTTTTTTCAAAACTGAGGAGTTTTCATAGGCAAGAAAGACATGTTTTATGTTAATAATGCTTTAGTTTTGATTTAAAAGTGATGCTTATACCATAATTGTATTCTATACAGGACTTTTCAAACAAAATTACTTCTTGAAAAATCAGGTGGTGGTTCAATATCTTCATTATAATGTAAGTTTCATTGTAAGAAAAGATGACAAGACAAGAAGCCACCATTGACATAATGGAAAGGATACATGGTTTTATTGACTTCCGAGTGAACTACATGTACATGTTTACAGACATTCATGGAGAGCGCTGTGGCTACCTGTAATCACTTCGTCCTGCTGAAAATTGATAAAAGCTGCTTCCTAGGTTTTTGGTTTGGTACTTTTACTCCTGCCGATTGTCTTGTTAGGTCTAAGTTGTTAAATAATGTAATACCCGTGATGTGGAAGGTTTAGTATTGTATTTGCTGGGAATGACATTATTTATTTAGATATCATTGGTGGAGAAGCATTTAGAAAAGCATACAGAATGTTCACTTGAGTGTACATGTATTCTTTTTATTATCAAGTATGCTTTATACAATAACATTTTACAGCATCTTAAATTGGACGTACATTGTGTAATGGCTGCCCACATACTGCTAAAGAACAATGATTTAATGATGGATACACACAAAACAAACACTTTCATTTATTTGAATTGAATAAGAATGCCTCTGTTTATTGTAATATTAAAAGCTAGCAAGCAAACCAAAGCTATAAAATAAATTCTGCATATTCGTGGGCACTGATAACCCTTATGTCAGTAATTGTGTCTTTCCTTCTTTCATTCTTTTTCACTTTTTTTTCATGGTCCAACTTTACCCAAAGCCCTCATGATCTTGCATTTGCTCATTTAAGAAGCATGCCTCAAGTTCACAAAGTTGACAGATAAATAAGATAGGAAGCCTCCTAGAGTTTATGAATCACAGCAGAAGGATAACACTAAATCTTCATCCACCACTGGCCTGCTGTGCTGCAAGATGTACGGCCCTCCTTTGATCCAGCCTTTCACTTAGTACGCTAATGCATGGGAACACCTCTCTCACTGATGTTGCATTTTATGTTTAACCTAGTTGATACTCTGTGGAACTGTTTCGCTTTACCATGTACATTGTACTTTTAAATCCCAGTCTCATTTTGCTTCTGTTTAGGATGGAGGGTGCCATGCATTTACAGTTTTCCCTTTTACCCCCTCTTATTTCCCACATGTGCCTTTCTTTCTCATCCCTTCCTTCTCTTGTATGCTCCCTCCCAACTCCTCTTCCTACGAGGGTTTCCTTCCCTTTTTACGACTTGTCACCTAACCCTCTTCCTCACCATCTATTTCATACTTTCCTCTTCCTCCTCACCAAACCCCCCTTTTCTCTCCAATTTAAAACTTTTATTATCCCTGCAGCTCATCTCCCCGGGTGTACTCACTCCTCCTTTCAGAAATTCACATCAAAACATCTTGAACCTTGGCCAACCAAATAAAGAGGGAATATGTAATAAAGACAGGTGGATTTCTAGTTGATTTATCTCATCAATTCTCACCAGACGTCTCTGATCACACTTGCAGGAATGGTACGCTTGATGATCACAAGCCAATGTTCAAAAACTGGAATTTTTTTTTCTGCTCTGTTTCAAAAAAGTTTCAGATAACCATGGGTAACAGTTCAGGATTTGTAAGTGTGATCTCACTTTCTTCGTTTGGTGTAAGCAAGAGATTCTGTTGGAGAATTCAGATTGTTTGAGAGTTTTCAGGATCCTTCTGATATTCTATGGATAATGACATTCTTTATGGGAATTATTTTTCCAAAACTGCCTGAGCTTTATTACAGGTAAAGATCAATAATCAGCTACGCAGCATCAAAATTAATTTTCTTTCAATTGATAAAATGTTTTATGGTAAGAAAGATGTACAGTGACAAATGTTGCATGTTTCTGAAATGATATATCTTGACAGATTGCCAGTTACACTACGTTACAGGGGAATGTGTAACAAATCATTCAAATGTGAGAATCTGCACTTCTCAAGTGCCTGCAAATAAATCTGAACCCAAGGAACTGGTATTTGGCAGTCTTCTTAAGCTTGTACATAAGACTTTAAAAGAAGTGGGGAGTGAGTTCAAGTGAAATGCCAAAATAGTTTGAAATGCCTCTAAAAAGCATGCATTTACTTGCCTCAAACCAGGCCCATCTCAAAGCAGTCTGACACCACTTGGATTAAATTCCATAATTTCTCAATATCCTTTTAAGTACTTGCTTGCTTGAAACTTGTTTTAAGAAATTGTGTAATTTTGTTTTTTTTCAGGGCTGTTGTCTTCAAATGTTAACACATTCTATCCTTTTAATTTTATAAATTTGCTTTGTTTAATAAATTCTGTTTACAAAAAGACAGTTTACACACATTTCAGAACATACTTTATTACTGTTTAAAATATAGATAAAAAATTAACAAATTACTTGCATAGACACTGATATTAAAACTAAACGTAGTATTAATCAACATTGCATAGAAGCACACACTATCTATCTTACAAATAATAAATATCATGGCAGCTTGTATGATCTAAAATAATATTAATTGGTATCAGTTACATGATTTATAGCTAAAATTTTAAACAAATGACCAAAGGTGAATTCCAATGCACAGATTCTATAAATTTACATTAACTTTTTCAAAAGCAAAAAATACATTTTCAGATATGATGTTAAAGCAGTTCTTGGAAAATTTATAAAGTCTGTCTAGAATTAGTTTATTCAACAACCAATCATAATGCATTTCATTTCTTAGACATTAACATAAATCAAAATATTTTGTGACTATTTCCAGATAAGTAGTGGAATATTGGACCTTGAGCAGAATGTTTCTTGAATCTATGTCATAATTTTGGGTAGACAGAAGTCCAGTTTTAACTGGTCAGTCCATTGACTGGCCCTGATGAGATAGACATTAGGTACATATTAACAACTATTAAAATACAGCAATTAGAATCCCTTGGTGAAACCAAACATGATTTAATATTCTTACACAATTTGATAGGTCCCCGTGGGACTGATTAATACCAAGTACTTTCCCTGGTTTACAATCAACCTGGTCCAGGCTACTCTCTCTCTCTATATGTATATATTTGGTCAGATACCCCGAGGTTATAAAGTCCACATACACAGGAGGAAAGGTGTGGAATATTATCCAAATCTTTAAATGTACCTGAGGTTTTATATTTATATAAATTTACAGATGCATAGTTTTTATGCGCACCAATCAGTTAGATGAAGATAAAATTCCAACTCAGATCCTCCTGTCTTCACCTCACCATCCTGAATAATGTAAAACCAACCCATTAATACTAGATGTAACATAAAAGAAAGAGAAATTCCAGTCAGAGGCAAAGTGATCATAACAATTATAATAAAAGTGCCTCCCTCAACCATCAACAACATGAGTTAATTATTTAAAAGATCTACATCTATGTCCTAGATACGATTTCAGCACTGTTCCCCAAATGCATAATTGACAAATGAGGACATTTGTACCTATTTACAAGTGCTTACTCAATTTACTGAATAAAATGGCCAAAGCAGTATGCACTTGAAATACAGTTGCATGTCATATTTTCTGAAAGCTCAAAGAACCAGCAGTGTAAGTAGTTTATATTCCAAAAAATATGAGGTAGTGTACTACAATTTGTGTACAAGTATGCGGAGTGGGTAATTTGAGCAAAGGCAGCTTCTGCAACACTAGAATACCCATGCATCCTATTTAAACTACTAAAATCTCAAACTGTACCAAAGAAAATGCCCATGATCAAGTAACACATTTTCACTTTTTCATCTCATCAACATCATCATGCTTATTTAAAATAATGAACAACAGACTTAAATGCAAAATCTGGTAAAGACTTTAAAATGCTAAGTTACTGTACAATATACTAGAAATGGTAAGAATTATTTCCCATAATTCGTAAAAAAAAGTTTCTAGATCAACTATGTTAATAAATCTAACTGGAAAATCTATGAAGATTACAAATGTACACGAGTTCCATATGCGATAAAATTCTACAATATGCTAAAAATAAAAAAAGACAATTTTCAACCTTAAAATCCAATGAAGTTCTGACATCAATTTGGCAAAAACTTGAATTTTCAATTTCTGAGTCACTCTGATATCAATTTGGCAAAAACAGGAAAAGTAAAAAGTATTAGTATACCCTGAATTCTTAACAGAAAATATTTTGAACCACATTAAATCAATCCCTACCTTATTTAAATAATATTGCTAAGTTTATCTTATGTATGCAAGTAAACTATATTATCTTAAACCCTTCATATTGGCAAAAGCTGCACCTTATAATGGAAGATCGGTGGGAACCCTTTATACTTAATATAAGATTTACGTAAAAGTAAATAATCACTCAGCTGTACTATTACTTAAAACACCTGTTGCATAATGCTACTGATATATATTTACAAGAAATGACTTTCACAGGGTTCTCAGCAATTTACTATTTGGCAAAAAATTCAGACAGTGGGTAGATGGCATGATAACATTGCAATTACTGGTAACATGTCTGATTCTGCTCAAATTCACTTGACACAACGGTATCAGGATTTTTTTCATCAGTCATCCGCTTGCTGCTTGGGTGGGATTGAACTGAACCCAGCCAACAAAACCGCTGCAGAACAGACCCTGCATGCTGTGTTGATATCTTTTTCAAGGGGCAGACTGTATAAATGTGCTGCAGTGGTTACTGGGTTCTTATAACATCTTATACTCACATTGTTGTGCTATACAACTAAATCCATACCATACTAGCTGTGAGTGTGGCTATACAGAATTTACAGCACTCTCTAATGAGAAAGCCTTGAACTGTCTGGTTTTAGTTGTGTCTGGAGTAGGAAATTTGATTTAAAATGTACATGATTTCCATTTTGCAATACTTTGTACAGCTGATACCGCACTATCTTGCCGGCATGAGGTTTCCCATTCGGCTTTTTGCCAGCTAGGGTTATCTAACTATAATTATAATAAAGAGAAGGGAGGGGGTCTGTACATAACTCTGTGGTAGTTGGGAAAGGGTATAGACACATAGACACTATGTACAAGTTTGATTTTTTCCTAAATAAATCTCTCCTCAGGTAAGTATCAACTCAGATGAAGATGAAGTCCTTCCTAGTACCCTCATCACATCGTCCCTCTTTGTGTACAGTCCTCATTATCCATTTACCATGGCAACCGCGTGCATTTACAGCATTCCATCTCGTGATTTGGTTAATGACACCATGTCCTTTACAGCGGGTGCCTAGACTCTTCCACATGGCGGTGGGCTGGCATTCAACACATATTTGGGCTCCCTTCTCCAGAACCTTTGCCCAAGGGGTAATGTTGGATTTCTGGCAGACTCTTCTTGAAGAAACAATCTCATAGGTGGCATAGTAGCTGGAAGGTAAAAATAAAAAGAGATAACAATTTAGCTAATGGTCAAAAATGGACAGGCACTGGTTGTTTAATTACTGACTCATTTTAAATTCTGGTCTACTGGGCATTAACCAATAAAGATGCTACACTAAACTGTGTGGAACAGGAAACAATTTACACAATGATTAGTCTAATTTCCATCACAACATTGGAACAGATACCAGAAAATTGAAACAAATATTCACTTAATCAAATAAGACTGGCGCCTTCAAACAGAATTTACAAGATCAAATTTATGGTCAAATTAACTGCAGAAATCTCTTGTCCCTTGGTAGAAATAAATCCTAATAAACATTCATAAAAATAATGGGAGAAATTGAGATCTCTTCATGCAGAAATGTGACTGAACTTTTATGACATTCTGTACTTAGTACCCATTCTAAACAAACCAGTTTATTCTGACAGTCAAATGGATACACCATAAACATAAAAGGCCATTCAGAATGAAATGGTAGACAAATAAAAGGACTGGTAACAATTTTTGCTGGTAATTAAAAGTTGCCAAACACTCAAATGACACTTTTTATGTCCCATTGCATTTCTATTGACCATTAAATGACTGACAGAAGTTTGGAATTGTTAGAACTATAAATATACCCTGGAAGTCCAATGCAGAGACAGAGTAGATTGGTTTTTGGCAGTTTGAAGGATTTCATCTTTTTGCTTACTGTGCTCTGATTTGCACATCTCTGTTTTATTCATAGACCTAAAAAAACCAAGCCATTTTCCACCTCCCTATCACTATGAAATCTTATTAGTCTGGGAACCTTCGGAATTCAATTTGCCTTCATTTCTCCAAAGCTTGGAAAAACATGTAAGGTTTTCCTTTGCACTGCAGAAAAAACATCCCACAATGCATTCCAGATTGCCCAAGGGAAACCATGGCATAAAAAGAGAGAAACCATTAGAACCTGATCAGTTGCTCTGCATTTTTTATCTTGAGAAAAAACGCATAACAGCAAATGTATTTTTAACTATAAAATAAATAAATAAATAAATAAACAGATATATAAATCAACAAACAAACAAATAAATCAACAAACAAGTAAATGAAGCTTTTACCTTTTAATGGTCTTTTTGTACCAAATAGAAATATTTTTTTGAGGGCGGGGGGGTTGTTGAAGTATAATGCAATTTGCAGATATTGGCTAAAAAAATTGACATTAACATTTTGTTAGTTATGTTATGAATTGACTGCATTTCTTGAGTACTAATCACTCAAGCAATATTTCAAATCTTGTCCCCCTCAATAAAACATTCAAACTCAACCCAAACATTACTGTGAGAAGTTTAAGCACCACTAGTAAATCGAAGTAACACATGTGCCAAACAGTGCTTGTCTGAACTAAAATTACAACTTTCTTTATGTCATTCACCATATCTCTGCAATAACACAATAATTTTCTTCTTCATAGAATCCTAAACAAGGTGCACCCACATGCATTTCTATGTACTTATATTGAATCAAGCAGCAGTATATAAAGAAACCAAGTTAGCCGTAGGCTAGCTGTGTTTTTTTCCTTGTTACAAGGAGGTAATGGTCAATGCTTGTGTGGTTTCTATTAGCACCATGCTAGTGAAGTTGTCTGAACAATTACGCTGTTTCCACAACCTGCTGCTAAGGTTCTTGTTACCAAAATGGCAAAGGTGACGATAGGGAAAAAAGGTGCCAGAGTCTCTGACAATCAAATGTCCTAATCACGGAAGGCAGCTCCATTCTTCACTATCAACACAATCTAGGCAGAGAACCTTTAACAGAGACTGACGGAACAATTGTAAAAGCTCAGAAAAACTTGTCAACCAGTTGAAATTAATCGTATATGAAATTCACAATGATGTTACATTTGCCATACAATAATTAAGGTGTTTATGCAATGTTTACATTAATATGAGATGGCATGTTTCCATTTTGAAACCTTTTTCTTAATCTATTTCAATCATTGTTTACTTTCATACTGTTTCTTTTATCACAAGTATTTTTTTAAATTTCCAATATTGTTAAAATCATGGAAACATGTTTTTAACCTATTTTACCCAAGACATTGTATCCATTCCTTGAAAATTTTCAGATCGGCTTTGTTAACCTTAAGAAGCAAATGTCAATGAAACAAAGAAGGGACATATGAAGGAAAGATGATAGACACACAATTTAAAAAAGTCCTTTCGAACAATGAAATTAAAAGAAAACACTGATGTGATGAATCACTGAAGATAAAAATCTGGACAAAGGACTCAACTTGACCGGGACCAACGGATTACAAAGGACACTGACAGTTTTGGCCCTGAAGTGATTTCCAAAATGACCAGTCTTTGACCACTGGACACATCTACCAGTCATCAGGGGTGGCCTCAGTGGTGTGAAAATGATATGTCTTGTATCCGGAGTTTTTGTGAACATACAATTGAAAATGTCTGTATTGTGGCTTGAAAAGATGGACATGTGGCTTCAGTTTGCAGTGTGTGGATAAGAAAATTTCATCAATCCTGAATGTGTGACTTATTTATACTGTACCAAATTCATTTCATTTGCACTTATACCTGTGGTTGACTATAAAGTATGTTTGAGCTATTTTTTTTCTTTTTATGAACTGACAGAAGAAATATGTATTTACACTGGTGTTTGGTTTTATTTTATAGTGTGTATCACCTATTGCCATCAAAGAAACCAATGTAATGGATTTCCAGCTTTCAAATTCAGTGCCAGGCAGAAAAAAATAGCTACTTCCATATTGCATAAGTCTGAAAAGAATTTCAGCTCTTTCAGAAGGACTATCCTATATTCTGTTATTGAAACAACAATATTGACATTTTATTTCCACCATACTGGATTCATGTGCAAAAATTCAAATTACATCTGCAATGACAAAATACTTCTTCCACTCTCTGAACAAGAAAAACCTCTTGGGCCTGACAATCTATTCAAAGGATAAAATCACCAGGGTTACAAAGAGATATCGAGGACATGTCAAAGCCTGTGCACTAGTAGTGGGACTGGTGCATCTAAACAAGGGTCAAGTAGGGACAGAAAGTGTGTGTGTCAGCCTCTCCTCATTCTGGTGGCAAGGGGCAGAGTGCCACACGAAAGAAATACACCACTCTATTATTTCCCTTTGTTCAAATCCTGTCAATGAGTTTTAAACTTGTTCTTAATGACCGCAATGCCACACAGAGATGCATTATTTGCTTTTGTTAAAATGCTGTCAATGACTTTTCAATTATTTTCTATTGGTCAAACTTGGTAGAAGTAATGAGAGAAAAAAAACCTGTTCAAGTACCAGGGCTATTATTTCCTACAACTCTGATTGAAATCCCTAAACTCAAAATTTACCCTGGATAAAAATATCATCTGTGATGTGCATGTGCGTGCATCTGTGTGAGAACAGGGGTGTGTTGATATCCACAACCCATGTGTAATTACCCAATTAATCACTAACTCTTAATCCTATATCTACAATGTGGTGTAATACCGATATTTGCCACAACACCATTCTATGTACTTCTGAACTATTAATCTCCAAGAATCACCTCAACCTATTGTACATCACATCTGCTTAGCACTGGGCTTTAGGTTTAAGGTGAGATAAGCTTAAGCCCCTCACCCCACCCCCTTTGACAAGACCAGGTAAATACATAGTGACAGGTCAGAACTATAAGTAACAGTTAAGCATCTTTATTTTCATCCCACATCATCAACTGGGATGCCTTGGATTATAGATTATACTCCGATAGGCAGTCATTTAATCTGATGGAATTCAAAATAAAAACATTCCTTTTTTTCAGCATCGCCAAAATCCCTTAAAATTTGCTACCTTACGGTTATCATCTTTTTACCAGGTAACCTCAAACCACTACATACAAACAAATACCAGGTAATTTTAGCTCAACTTGTGAATTTGTGTGGGGTTAATCTTGGGGCAGACTGAAAATGAAGAGCAAATTATAGGACTTGGGATCCTGTTTTTTTCTTTTTTTGACATTGATCATTTTCAGGAAACCTTTGAGTGCAAATGCCAAAACGGTGGTGACTGCTTAGTTCCATTTACAAAGAGAAGATGGTAGGTTTCAAGTCATTATCTCCACATCATTATCATGAAAGCTCAAATGTGCTGGGATGGTGTCCCTGGTAATGAGCTTTTAAGGACAGTAATATCTTCCTGAATTTATTTTTCTTTAAACCTAATGCTTTTAAGGGGAACTTAAACATGTGACCACACACCTCAAGATAAGAGTTGGGGACCTGTTCCAAAAAAGAACTTAAGTCCAGAAACTGGTCGAAACTTTTAACCAAAAATTCAAGCTACTTTGTCCCACGTTCGACAAATAAGTAGCCTGACATTAAATGTTATACTGCATTCGTTTTAAAATAAGAAGGACATGGTATTGTTTCTGAGCACTTCCAACTTTATTTAAGAGGACTATAGCATAGATCTTGAACTGATGTAGTTCAGTTTTTCGAGAAAGTTAAGACCAATGTTCAGATTTTAGTTATTTTGTGAATAAGGTCCCAGGGGTGCCCCATATTGGGAGGACATGTACTGAAGAGCATACAGATGGTTGTTGAATCACTCAAATTTCTAACCCTTTTTGTTTAGCAGGACACATGAATCTTTTGACTTAATAAACTTTTCAGATTTTGTTTTTTTAAGATCTCTTCCATTTTTCTAAATAAAAATGAGATTTTCATCACACTGTCACAGCTGTGTTGTAGGAAATCTGATGTAATATGAACAAGTGCTTTTCATAACACATTCCATCAACAGACATCTGAAGTATTCCGAGCATGTTTCAACTGAATTTTTTTGACGAGAAATGACTTCAACACTTGACAAAACTTGTATTTATTGTCACCTTCCTTAACACTCTCACAGCATATTTCTTGAGCAGACAGGAAATAAATAGTTTCGTTCATTTCTCTAAAAATTCCCTTAATTTCACCAAAGAACTTAAATGCACTGTTAGCTGTAAGTGACATAAATTTTCATGTGTACAAAACAAACTTGGAATTTTGCTTTTAATTTCACCAAGATGCACTTTTGATTAACATATCAAAACAACTAGATTAATGAGTCATCATGTGGTTCTCACCAGAAGTATTTCACCAGAAATATAGGTAAGAAACTGTTACATCATCAAACAATATTGTTTTCAATAATGATAATTCATCATCCTAGACAGTGATAACAGGGCTCAAGCCTTGTAACTCAGTTGCTGAGAAACAAAAGAGCCACAAAAAGACAAAGGAACAATACTCAGGAACAAGCCTGGAGTTGTTGAGGTTGAAAGAGGAATGAGGGGGAGGGTATATCAGTGCTCAGTGGTAAGTACTGTGGTCAAATGTGTGGTCAAACAGTGGTCAGTCTAACAGTTCATGCATTTAGATCAACCAGGTGCAATCCACTCTTGGTCACAGTGTACACCTTAATGCTTCATTATCACATTATATTTGCAGAAACTAGATTCATCTGGAAAATTCCAAAATCAATTCAACCCTGACAGTCTTTGCACTGGTAGACCCTGTCCCATCTAGAGATAAATGTGGGGTGATAAACACTGGGGAAACAAATCATCAGCAGTAGACAGACAAACCCAAACAAAACCACCATTTCCTTGTTTTCTACAGTGCAAAAAAGTTGTGCAAACCAAGAACACTGGTGTACCCCATAATTGATCAAAATTAACTTGTACCCACTATAGATTCTGATATCAACTTAGCCTTGTCTATTTTAATGAGGCATATAATGGGGGAGGTGCACTGATGTAATGTATCTCTCCTCTTATGCAATCTGTTCCTGTTGTAATTATGTGTATCATTACTACTGTAATTGCAAGAACGTAAATCAAAAGTGCTATCATTATATCTTACCTTGTTCTGGTAATAGCATTGGCATAGTAATACTTGTAGTAGAGATTTTTACGAATGTCTTTGCTGAAGTCATAAACCTTGCTCTTCCTCCATGTTCCAAAGGCAGCTGGAATGATGCGCCCGGTTTCTAAAAAATTAAAGCAGAAGATAATAGTTATTTCTTTCAAATTTGAATATCCACTTTAAGGTGAATTTTCCCCTTAAGCATGTTTTTTTAAAATTGCAATTCACAATGAATTTCTTTTCTATTGTGTTATGACTACAACAGTATTGCACTTGAAACAGTTCAAGAAGTGTCATGTTGTTTACACTAAACCATGGCATGGTTCATTACTTGAGATATGTGTAATAGTACACAACACAGACTTTCCATTGTTGAAGAAATATAAGTCCCTGCTGTTGTTTTGACTAAGAGCAAAGTTGTTTCTTCTGACAGTTGCTCCAAGGAGCACAGATATCACATTGTCAAACTGTGTTATACAGTGGCAGAAAAAGTGCCATTTTAACATATAATAGTTGTGAAAAGTACAGTTGTGATGTAAAACATAGCTCTGTGAGTGTGTTACATATATCATAATTGCAGTGAAAAGTTGTAAATAGGAAACAACTGTGATACTTGTTTTCCTGACAGATGCAAAAAGAACAGTTAATAATACCTCGAAATAAAGGAAATAAAGTTTACAAAATTTATATGCTGTATCATATATAATAGTTGTAAAAAGTTTTGAGGAAGAAATATAGAAACTGTGCTATATTTTCCTTAAAAATGCATTCATATTAATAAATACCATAAACCACAATAAAATTGCACCAAGAGTTCCAAATAAAAAGTTAACTGTAATTGAGAAATGTGTACTTGATACAAGACAAAAGTGTGAATGTTAAGAAATAATGACCAACAGAAATGTTATAAATGCACTGACAGCTGTACAATGGCAGTTCTCTAACATCAACCCAGTAGCCGCCTTAATACTGAGAAATGAACTATAAGAATGGGTCAGACCTGTCCACTGTAACGGCCACTAAGAGGTGACCAATGGAGTCAAAAAGTCACCCAAGGTAAAACTTTATGTGAAAACGATATGTTTGGAAATAATCCCCGGAATTTTTCTTTGTTGAAATAGAGAGGGGGAAAAACCTTAATGAAGTAATAAAGAACATAGTCCAGAAACAGAACAAAAACCCATGAAAGTGTTAAACATGTGAGCAGTAAAACTGGGAAATGACGAGCTGTCATGTGGGATTACTGTAACAACAAAATGTTCACTTTCAATGCAGCTTAATATACTTTTCAATTGTTTGAGCCTTATTTTTCTATCAAGTAAAAGGTATTTCTTATTTTATATGGAGCAAAACTTGTACTTGGTTCAGTGTTTCAGGATTATTGGAGTTTCTGCCAAGAGGGGTGGTGTGGCAACCAGATGTCACATGGAGAAGAACCGATGTGTTTTGCTAGTGTAGCTTACTCAGGTGCAGAAGCGTATTTAGACTATAGAAATTACTGGGGATTTTCACTGGCCTAATGTTGTTCCATCTTTTCTCCACTCACAACAATGCAGAGGATTTTCAGACCTACCTTTCTCAGTATTACTACTTTTGTTATCCAGCTTCATGGCTGAATATGTCCAATTTGCACACTATTGCTATGAATATGTAATAAAAGATTATTGACCCAATCCAGTCAGGGCTATAAGGCTATGATCTTTCCACCAAAAATGGATCATCAATACATGAATACAATCTGGTACGTGATCTATGGGTGAGAAAAGTAATTAGTGGCATTTTTCTTTCGTCAAAGTTTTGATAATACACCGGGAGCTGTTTGCATTCCCCTACCCCCTTCTGGTTATGTTTCTCTACAAGCAGACTCATAATGTACCTTGTTTGTTATCACTGTCATCAACTAAAACCCTGTTTGAATTTCACAGGTATTCACTACTACAATTATAATATTGTACACAAGTATACTTTCTGTACATGAACACTGACAATATTCTCCCTCTCTTAAAATATTTTTCTTTTCCACCACATGTTACACAATTAAATAGCTGTATGTAATTTGTTTTGGAGGTCATGTGGACCAAAACTTGTTAGTCTAGTAACCTAACTGCTATTAACACTGCTTATAGAAGTGTGCCTAGAAAGCAGCCTTGTGCTATTCAATTTGGAAAATGGAAAAAGCAGAATAACAGTAGTCTTCATATACATTTTGTGGCAGCAATTTGCTGATCCTACCCCTTAGCGAAAAATCCACTTAGGACTGAAACTGTCTTATTTTGAGAGAGTAAATGCAAACTTAATTTTCTGTCACAATCAGAAGAACACATTTGGCTATTTAAGGGGATGCAATTATGTATTTCAAGTGCAAACATAGTTATAATAATCCTAATTATCCAACTAAGGACAAATGAAATGTGCAGGATATGTGTATATGATTTTTATCAGTATCCCCATCAGATCTAATGCTCAATTTTAGTAACAATGCAGCTTTCCATACTCTCCTTACTCATTCGGGACAATGAAACCACTTGGGTTGTGAGAAATGGCATAATTCACTGGCCAGTGAGTGCACATGGGACTACTGTACCCCAACTATCAGTGAGGAGAGGCCTGATTGCATGTCGTAACAGGGAAGACCATGACAATATGTCATAGATAGCAGGAGGAAAGTCCTTATTTCCTTCCTTGCTCATCTCCATAAAACACTTCCCATTTTATCACAATGAAGTCATAACCAGATAACTATCAAACAATGACCTCAGATAGCAAAACAATTAAAGAGATGAGTACACCATAAGATTCTTCATCTCAGTTCCCCTCCCCGACCCTCCCCCTTCCTTGTCCCTCCCCACCCCCCAAGACCTCCCATGAAACAGAAGTCATGATAAATGAGGGAATTTGATGACAATATCACAATAGCCTGACCATGCATAATGCTATCAGAATAACATGCCCATCTTTCCCTTGGCATTAGAGATAGGAGAAAAGTTACAGTAAGTGCATTCAATATTATCAAACTTCCCGAAGATCCAGCACAGCCTGACAGGATGTCTAGTTGTCTTAATTTGCCAGGGTCAGCAGGTCTTTGTCAGGTGATTTCAACTTGCATCATGGGTTTAATTAATTGGTTTAGGATTCTCAGCACCTGGCCTCTCATTTAATTACTTTTGGGATCAGAAATGCGACAACCCTTTACAAAGTCATAATCAGATTATCTGTAGATAGACAGAGGAATATAAATGGACAAATTAAATGCCCATTTGTTTTATGTGTTGGTCATATTGCTTATCCAAGCGACATTAAACTGAGATGTCTTCATCAAACAAGTCAATACAATATGATTCATTGCAGAGGTGAAATTTGCTATTTTTAAGGACAAACTACTTTACAGCAGACTTTATACAGAGAAGTTACCAGACACTTTTTTACACAGTAATGCAACTAATCTGAGAGTTTAGGATTACTGTCTGTGCACACGACCTTTTCTATCTATAGAAAAATAAAGAAAAAACACATTTAAGCTCCCATGCAATCGTCACTGAGCTAAGATTACTGATATCTATTGTCACAGGATATAATGACCTAGCAATTATTTAAGCTAAGGTCTCCAAAGGAAGGCATTAAGTGAGATCTACCTTAATTCTAAGTTTAAGATGGGAGACATTTCATCCCCAAGTGTCTGTGAAATTTGTCCAAATTTCTGAAAGAAAGGGTGAAGTTAATGAAAGGAGTTTAACTTGCTAACCTCAATTCACCTTAGTTAGGGGGGCGTAACTTCATACAGCCCAATATAAGGGAAGCAGGAGGGTCTCTGGGAGAGAGGACGGTGTATTTACTGTTGTATTCCTAATTTGCAGGAAAATAGATTGGGGAATTGAAAATTACCTGAGGAAGAGGAAATTTGAAGAGTAACATTACACCCTTGTCTGTAAGCTCAAATTGCTTCTTGTATTTATGCCCACTCTCACCAGCAAATTCTTGATAAAGGGTAATTTAAGATATAATAGTCTTCCTGATATAGAGTAGCCTAGGGCCTTTCTTACACTAAAATGCTTCTCTGTTACACACATCTGCCCCATTACAACTCAACCATGTTAGGATACTTCCAAAATTTGTGAACATCCACCCAAAAACATGCTATGGTTGTCAGTGTCTTGACTCTTATAGAGATAATTCAATACTTTAAGAAGACACGTTTGAGTAGTTCTACAAAAAAGGGAAAAACATGAGTGTTTACAAGCTTATCATCAGTAAGATAAGAAAATAAGGAGGTCAACCTGACTCAGATGCCACCAAGAGCAAGTGCTAAATTTTACCCATTTCTCTTTCTGAAAGGTGTCCTTAAGACCAGAACATCCAGACACCAAAAATATTTTCGGAAAATGGGAACACCAAAAATACATCAAGACATGATAAGGATGAGAAAGTTTGTACGTATCAAAGATAAAAGCACCATGGCAAATTTTGTTTGTCTGAGAAGCAAATTAAGTTTCACATAAAAGGATGACTGATGATAAAAGTCATGAAATCAAAAAACCAATCAAATGCCAAAACTGCCTATTAGAGAAACTTATCCATACTTTCCAGTAAGGCTTTTCAATTTTAGTAATAAGGACATGCTATTTTACAAAAATACATTAAAGGTGCAATGTTAAGTTTAGTTTAGGTTCCCTGTCTGAACTTTACAACTATGTACATCATTCTCAATAAATCACTCTTTCACCAAAAACTTTTTAAAATGTACACCTCACACCTGCTTTAATGCAAAATCAATCTTCAGCATTAAATTGGCTGTAACTTTTACTTAAAAGTTATTTTTTATCAACAATTAGTAAACTCAAAGAGACCTTCCATTACTGCAAAATATGAAATAGTTTACAGAAACTTTCATGTCTTTCACCATTTAAAACAATCAGTTTCAACTGTCACAAAGAAACTGAAGAAACTATGCACTTGCTGGCTTTTTCTCCAGAACTCTGAAGTATTTGACTCAATCATCAGTAATGGTGAACTTTATCCATACAAGCCCAGATGGTTCTAACCACACTGATGGTACAGTAGAGATGCTTCCATTCTTTGTAAAGGTGACTTTCTGATCACTTTGAAAGGGTGCATTTACTCTTGATGCCCTTAACAGTTTTTGTGATCAGTGCACATTTTTTAAAGAAAATGAGTGTGTGTGCATGCCTGTGTGTGTGTGTGTGGGGGGGGGGGGGGTTAAGGACATTTCTTTGGTTGCATTTAATCAAGAAGATATTTATTTATTTGATTAATATACATTAAACTGTGCAGCTTGTTTCGAACTGATACAAATGGCTCCATGTAAATGATACTTTACACAAACTGTTCCATCTGGTATGGTTATTTTCTATCTTCATTTCAACTTTCTTGGACTTTACTTTGGCATTCTTATACAAAACCACCTGTGGGCCCAGACTGCTGCTGTAATGGTGTCTACCAAAGTGCAATTTTCTGTAATTTGTGTCAGACTTCCAAGTAGAATAAATGAGAGTATGTCTCTTCTCTGCTGAGGGAGTTACATAGGCTGTCCTAGGATACCAGGTTCCCTTTGTGTAATATTACAGATGGGTGTCTCTTCTCAAAGTGTGTTTCATTAAGGGAAAATCAATTAGTAAAAAGATATCTTGTGAGGATGAGAGAAAGAGGGAAAGGACCCAGCATAATGCTCTCCAATAACAAGAGAGAGTTTGATCTTTTTGCAAAATTACAGTTACATCTTGCATTAGACCCAATTTATCACTTTTGTTTCATTTTGTCTGTAGACATTCATGTCTTTGATCCAGTTGGGGACAGCAACATGACACTGTTAAGACAAAGGACATACAATACATTATGTCAGACTTTGGTGACGAGGGAAGTTGAATAATCTCCCCATTGCCTGTCTCCCAGCAATTTTCATTCATAATGGTCAAGTCTGAACTACTGACTGTCAGACAGTAATTCATTTTACAATCGTCAAAATGTAAATCCACCCATTTGCTAAAGAGGTGACTGCAATTAAAGGAGAGACATAAAATATCCCCTCATCTTTCATGTGAGGGATTGCATGGGCATACCTGTGACTGGGGGTCTGCAGATAATAATTTGTACCACTTTTCAAAGAAAACTACTTTAGCACAACAATGTATTACCACTAACCACCAGCAAACAAATCAAATTATTGTGAGAGAATATTCAATATCTCCAGTTAAACACAACTGTCAATTCAGTCTGACATAGTTTGGTTAATACAAGCCAGCTACTTGAAAACCAAGGATTATCAGAACAGCACTGTATGCAATTGCACAGGAAATATTTTGGATCATTCAGGAAAGCATTTCCCAGCTGACTCATAAATCCCTCTTGATATACTTCCAGCTTATCTTTAGACATTCAATTATTTGACTGAAAAGACCAGAGTGCCAAGACAAGAAATCTAACTTACACCTAGACCAACTGACAGAAAATGAATTAAAAAAGTAAAGTCTATCCTAACTGTGGAATTCAGTAGAATGAGCTCAATCAGATTTATGTGACTTTTACAGCTTCACTGCAAGCAAAATCCATTACAGGAGTCCCACCTTTTAAAACCTACTCTGATTTATGTTTTTTTAATAACACAACACCACATTTTTTCAATGGGTGCAATGCTGCACTGAACTTTCCTCTTTTCTAATTATTAAAGCACAAAAAGTATTTATTAAAATATGCTGTAATAGTTTAAAAAACATTAAAAATAAATCTTTATTTTAGGTGCAAATCATTTAATGTAAAAAAATGCATCTTAGCTCATCATACAAAATGACAGAATGCATCTTAGCTCAATTAAAAAGCAGCAAGTTAAACAACCTTGAATTTAAAAAAGTTTTGTTTTGATTCAAAATTTAATTTCCGCTCACCTAAAATAGACAAATCACTGATAGCAATACAACTGAAATACAGTTTAGGGCAAGAAAGATTTAAAACAGAGGAAAATGCTACATGTATATCTGGGCTCAGTATACTACTGCCAAAGTTAAACCACAATTTCCTATTGCTGCTAGTTTAACAAATCAATCCTGAAACCTCAACTTCCTATAACTGTGGTGCCAAATTCCTGGGGGCCGATATGACCTTTACATGTACCACTTGTCTTGTGGTATTAGTGAAAGAAGATGTTCATTGTATTTTACTTAATCAAAAGCAGGGTAACTAACAAGGGACTACTATAAAAGGTTGTACTTTATTTGATATCATCTCCTTCTTTCAGTAAATCATAAATATAATTTCCGTGCCTTTGTTTAACTTTAAGTTTTTTTCCTAACTTTTAAGGTGTACTTTCACCATAATTTTTCTTCTTTGTTTTACTAAAGTTTTCAGTAACATGAATTCCAGCAACAGTAGAAATGCAAGCAGCAAGCAACATAATGGACTTCCACTCACTGGTATTGCCCTTTTCATTCTAGCAAAAATGCAGTTTTCTTTTAACTTTTTTATTACTGTGTAAAAATAAAAAAGTATACAGTGGAGTCACATACTGATGTTAGTCTTTCCTGACTTTTTTGCAACACATTTCTGAAGAAAAAATACCTTGGCAAAGCCTAAAATACACAAACGTGTTCAGCAACAATAGAAAACGGGAACCCACTGTTAGCCAAAGCTCTTTTTTTCATCTGGTGTCAGAAAGAACTGTCAAAGTCATGAAAGCTTCCAATCTTCATAGTTCAACAATCATGTCACTTTAATCATTAAGTCAGTGTATGTAAATACAACTTAAGTATGCATATTTGGATTAAGTAGTCTTACTTATCAAACTGACCTCTTCAAAATGTCTTTCAGTCCTACTTCATCTTTTTTTTGGGGGGTGGGGGGGTGGGGGTGGTTGAACAAGTGGTACTGTGTAACTACAGTGTAGCTCAGGAAAGGGGGTCTGTATATGGTTTGGCATGTGTTTACTTATAAGAATTGTGTGCCTCTATGTACATACAACTATGCAAAAGTGCAGTTTGTAAGATAAAAAGTCTACAATGAAATAAGATTATGTAATGCAGCCATGCCCTTTAATGCACAGAAGCATATCCATTGGCTTATCTCATGGGTTCAGTAATGGCTTTCTTGAAGTAAAGCCAATGTGTATGAAAGATGGCATCTAATTAGGTAACAATTTCACACTGAAATTACAAAGAAACACAAGCTCCCAGTTTATTTCTCTTCCAGGGTTCTAGATCTATGCCAGGTGATGGTGAAGTGGATGTGAAAACAGACCAAGGCACACTACTTCCAGTGTCATGCAAACAGAAGCTTATTCCTTATATACCCCCACCTATATAATGCAATATAATATGCTGTGGTTGTCCAAAGTCACCAGACAGGTTACGGGATAGGAGACTATAACTTCAGGGATAACTAAAATAAATCAAAACAAGATGATAGTGCTTAAAAAACAATGCAAAAGTCACTGCAGGATTGGGTTCAATAAATGACCTTTTACTACATTAGCAAGTACAATTCACTGTGTTATAGGATCTTACTTATGTTTGTGAACATCTTAACATAAACCCCGTTGCTCCACCCTTTGAAAACTTTGGACATAAAGTTACAAGAACAGTGAGAAAGATGCACCACACTTTAGACTGTAAACAAAGTGAAAACTGGCGAGAAAAGTGAAAAAGATGCATCAGATCAAGGATAACAGAAAAATGTGAGAGAAAATGCATCGACGTTTAAATATATATATATATATATGTATATACATTACATATAGTATGTGTGAATATATGTATACGTATATATAAATAATTTGATATTGACAAGGCAAGCTGACAGCAAGACCTCAAGACCAAGCCAGCTGATAGACACTGTGCTGTGCCTTACCCTCTTCTATCTTTTCTAACTTCTCAAGTTCTGGATGCACTGCAACTATAACAGAAACTTTCATTTGAAGACCAGACACAATGGTAAAGAAATATAAATTCTTCGCCAGTCAGAAGTAGTAAGCTGATAGTAATTTTGATGCTGTGTACTGAAGATCTGAGGTTGTCAGATGTAATGTGCCTGCATTTGTGCAAAATATATAGTATAAAATTAAACCAAGATAATCACAAAGAAATAGGGTTAGAAATCCATTCATTTCCTAAAATGACAGCATCCAGCAAGCTACTACATAATATCAACTCTTAAAATTTTACAAATATGTACAAGTAGCCTGCTGAACAAGACATAGCCATCTGGCTGGGGAGGATTTCTAATCCTGACGAAAGAAGGAAAAAAAGCAAAAAGAGGAGAAACCAACACATTTTCACTAGTCTATATGATACATCAGACCCATGAGGGACGAAACTTACCTCTTGCTTCTTGTTTCCTGAAGTCACGTGTGTGTTTGCACTTGTTACCAAAGCAGACCCTTTCTTGTTTCAGTGGTGGGCACAGTTTTCCGCCATTCCTTGGAGGTTTTGTGATGTTTCTGTATCGTTCTTGTACACCAGAATCACAGAGACGAGAGCACTGGCCCCAACCAGCCCACTTTGAGACCACACAGTCCACAGCTACAAATACAGGAACAATTTTAATTAAGAACATTTTCACTTACTTGCATAATCAAAAAATTTGAAACTAAAAAATCTTACATCAAATCAGTGAATAAAATCACAAATGCAATCACACTTGTCACATGCAAAAAAAAAAAAAAAAAAAGTGGAACTTTTTTTCTTCAAAAACACACCCACAGATATTATATTTCTGAAAACAAAGTTTGCTTTTTTAAATCTGAAAATATCTCAAAATGGCTTCCTAATTTGGTTTGAAGTCTCTTAATGCCAACATCTGGCCAGAAACGTAGATAGTGTGTTATCTCTAGAGGGTTCCTCCCCAAAGCTCCCACTATCAATACAAAGGTGTCCATTTCAAAGATGATGGACCAGGCTCAGAAAACTAATTATACCCCACCTGTCTGCAGGCCAGCACAATAGCTGTTGAGGAAACGGGTACATCAACCGATAGCATCTATTAAGAGAGCTTAAGGGTCATCAGGTAAAAGTGACCAGTGCCTGACTTATACACACATACTAGACACTGACAGAAAAGAACTTACTTTGGGTTGTCTACATGCCATCATTTCACACATCAAAAAGTTCCTCATCAAGAAATAGTCACCATTGCCAGACTTACAGACAATCATATACTGAAAGGCTACAGAAAAGCACCAGAGAAAGAATTTCTAGGCAACTTTATTTAGATGTCTACATGCCATACCTTTAGCAGATTTTTTATTTTTATCTGCTTTCACCCTTTAAACTCTGTTCATTTCTAGAATTTGCTTACCACATAAAATATTCTGATTTATGATATACCAAACAACTATGATAATTCAATTTCAATAATTTATAAATTGGGCAAAGGCTGACTACAAAAGCCATATGTCCCACAACATATCAGAGAAGAAAAATCAAAACTGACCACAGGAGGTTTTTATCCTTTTTCATCAAACAGAAAGCAAGTTGAAGGAGATTTTATTTCAGATAATGAGCACACCCTATGGGCCAGCATGGTGTACATTTAACTGTACAGGTGTAAAAATAAAAACAAATCAAGCTTTCACTAAATCTGGCCTCAACTCCCTTCCCATAGGCAATTATTACACTTACTGTTGATTGTAAAGCAAGAAAGTTATGCAACTGTTTTGAGATGGCATAGGGGCACAGGGCAGAGTGTTTGCAAACCCCTCACTCTCAAAATACTCTACCTAAAAGATAACATTTTATAAGTAATTGTAGACAGAACTTGCAGCCATTTGGTAAGTATGCACTAGTTGAAAACCCCTTGTTATCCCAGGTTATTGTTTCAGTGGATTCTCACAGAGGACACTACTAAGAAGTAGGAGGGGTAGGGGGCTATTTTCCTACACATACCAACTTAAATTAATTTGGTCGATAAATAGTCTAAGTTTATTCTGGTCAGGCTTTCTTCCATCCTTGGCATTCTTCCTAGTTGGCCAGACAGCATTTTTTCTGCATTTAGTCTCATATTCGCACAAATCTCAATTGAACATTTATCATAAATTGGCATTGGCATGAATTAAACTAATGCAATTAATCCACAGAATTCAATACATGTTTCCAAATTTATCATATGAACCAAACCATGAACAGTAGAAATAGGCACAGATTTTTATCTTACTGTCTCATTCTGAATCCCCAGCAGTGTTAGAAATCAAATAAGGAAAACATAATTAAAGGTACAAGAAAAGATTTGATCAGGCTGTGCAGAGAGAGAATAATGGGATTCACAGCAGGTGTTTACAACTGGGAGGGGGTAAGAATGATGAAGAGGAGGAGCTTTCATGATTGTGATATAATTCCCACTGCAATTGGCAAAATGTGGATTTTAAGTCCAGTGAACCCCAGGCTACAAGTTACAACACCTGCAGGCTACCACCCAAGAGGATCAATTAAAAAAATTGTATTGACTTCTGGTAAATCCTTTCTCCATCTGTTTGATTGGATAACCTATGGAGAAATAATCACTAGTACTACTGAGGGGTTCCAGAGATGGGCGAACCAGATGCTCGACTCAAACTGAACACTGTCTTCAGTGTCCTGACCAGTGTGAACATTTGTGTACCTGCCCAAAACTGAATGAATTGAGTTATGCTTAAGGGTATAGCATTGGCACTTAATCAGTTACAATATTAACTACACTGGCTGGTCTGTAAAATCCCCATTACCAACCTAATACTGTCTTTATCAAAGTAAAATGTGCATCTAACCCAGCTTGATATCCAGCATAACACTTTTATAGTTAGTCTAAACCTGCCTCTGGCCCCCTGTCTGGTGAGATTGCTTCCTACACAAAGCCTGTCTGTTCAACTGCTGACCACCTTTCACATCTAATTTTAAAGGTTAAAGCCATGGCTAAATATAAAAGAAATTCTGACAAGAGAAATCTTCTAATCAGATCAAGTGGATATCTTTATTTGAACTGGCTAAGTTCCACCAAACAGTAAACCAGCTTTCTCAAATACAGATCTTCTTTCAAATAATCTGATTAGTTACAGACTGGCCATAGAGCACACTTAAGGGAAAAAAAACTATACAAAGTAAGCTAAAATGAGCCCTATAATTTAACTGTTCTTTGGATAATAAAGGTACAATCAATACATCGCGAAAATTGACTTTCTACTGATGTTTCCCTTTAATCAGATATTCTAAACAGGGGTAGATTTTTTTGGTCCATTTTTTTTTCTTCTTTCATTTTTTACAGAACAAATTCAAAGTGTAAGAGAGTAAATTAAGTTTTAGTGACTTTTTTTTCCTTTTAGTAAAATAGACATTGAAATACTTCAAAGCTATCAATACAACATTTAAGTAATGTTTTAACTTTGAAGGTGTTGCTTGTGTTTCCAAGTACTTAAGTGGCTTTTGTATGGTTAAAAATCCATAACTGTCATTAGATATGCCAAATACCTCTACGCATTGAGAAAACAACAAAGGGAGGGAGAAAGACCGATAATGTCTACAATAACAGTACTCTTTGGAAAAAAATCTTTAATAAAGGGCCAATTTTCCATAAGTGACAATATTCTGATATATGGAGACTCCTAGCATACCATTTACCAAAACCAACAAGCCTGGTTTCCTGTCTGCTTTGACTCAGGCTGTGTCTCTGAGTGGGTAGTGTTACAGTCTATGTTGTGTCTGGGTGGAGGTTTGTGGGCAGAATAAATATATCTACTACCCAGGATTCAGGTAGCAAACCTCAGACTGGCAACAATCCTGTGGTGATTGTATACAGTATCTTGCTATAGAAGAGTCTGGCTCACTGCCCTGGGAAGGTAACACTTCTGGGAATATTAGGCTGAAAGCAGTTTTCATTTTTCTTGATGATCAGCAAGGCAAGGGGTGTTTTCCTACAATGATTACCTGAGAAAGAGCAGGGGGGAGACGCAAAAAGTTTGCTTGGAGATACATGCTATCACATGCACTTTTTCATGTGGGGATATGGACATTTTCGGACTTTAATAGAATGTGTGTAAAACTGTGTAAAAATTAAAGGCACAAGCTTTTTTCTTTCTTATTGTTAATTATTATTCTTACAAATATTCAAATTTCTTAACCTTGAATCTTGCTGACACCACCTTGAACTCAAATCATGACCTATCCCCAACCCAACCCCACAGATGTCAAGGCAGCTGGTCTACTTGGGAATAGAACATTTCTGGGATCAACATCCCCAGGGTACACAGCTGACAACTCCACAACAGGCAATGGCATACCATCAGCCTGATTAACAGAGACACAATTGCTCAAGTGGCCGACAACCAGTGTTTGGTTTGAAAATAAAGTCATTATAAAGATCTACAAAGTATCATCTATATCTAGCCATCACATTTGTCAGGTTGCCTTCATGAGAGGTGGAACAACATACATATCAACATCCAGGGCCTCATTTCCTCCTTCAAACTGTCATTTATTCATTAATTTCCTTTTATGGTGGTTTTTATAATCTCTTAATCTCAATATTATATATGTTTACAGATGCATAATACTATCGACAACTTCATCATCATGTTGCAAATTCAGCAGTGATGATATCTCTTGTTTACAATACGGATCATATACCCGAAATGATCATTAAAGTCAAGAAGACAGGTACTAAAAAAGCCACACAGTGGATATTTTACTTGAATATCACTCATCAATCTTTGACAAACACGGCAACAGTCTGAATTTTCTGCTGGTAAACCAACATCAGACACCTCCTTTGTGAAAGATTAAACAGAGGTTACACACAGGTGAGCTGGAAACAGATACCCATTGAAAAAGGTGTTCAAAGAAGACATCTCAGGTAAAAAAATGTCTTGTTCAGCAAAGGCGGGAAACCCTAGAGACAGACCATGTTTACACCAACCTTTTGACCCCCCCTGTCTGTAAATGAAAAGGGTTTTCTACTTGAACACACAAAGACAAAGGGTTTACCAATTTTCAATTTGCATATATTATTCAGTACAGATCACTTGAAGGAATCTCTTTTAATTGACTCTGAAATGTCTTGTCAGACATCATGTGGGTTTTAAAAGTGCAGAACAGTAGTTGGTTTACCCTGACAGTATAAAATCACCACATCTCCAGTGCATCTGACAACTCTGTTGTCTTTGAGTAATTGGAACTAGGTCTTTTCCCAATACACCACTACATGACAAGAGGTACTGTCTAAATCAAGTTAAACAGCATAATTTGATATAAAGGTAAAACAGAGAGGGAGGCACCAAACCAGTGAACATAAATTATCATTTTAACTCTCTCTCTCTCTCTAAACTTCCTTTCTAACAAATCTGAGCTTTCCATTCTTTCCACACTTGGTAAATCATAAAACAATAACCACTGGTACTTGCCATTACCAATCATCAATAAGGAGATTAGTTTACATCAATTGTAGTGCCTTGAGGGCCATAGCATTTTATGGGGTTAGGGGTCAGTGCTCTATCAACTTTGATCTGTTGATAGATTGACTTAACACTTGCATGGAACTTTTTTTCCTTTTCCCCTTG